CAAGCAGGAACCTGTAATCTAGAATGCAGCCAAAGGACTTGTTTCCCGAGGGGACTTGGAAAGTCTCATGCTTCCACGGGGCCAGCCCCCAGCCCTCTTGCGGTGCTTGCATTATGCCCACCTTAGTTGACTGGCACCGGGGGGAGGGGCGGGCAGGGAGGAGGAACATGGTGGAGAAAAAGGTGAGAGGACACAGGAGGGTGTCAAGTAGAAGAAGACAAGGCCTGGCTCTGGGAGCAGGCAGGATGCTTGAACTAGAACACCCTCATCTGAAAACACTTTAACTCCCAGTTTTATCTCCCTATGGCTCACACAGTTGTGCAGAGGTTCCTCTGGCCATGGCCAACGTCGGTCTGTTGGGCTGAACGTAACAAATCAAAAGCTCTCCCCACCTAGAAATCTCAGCTGCCAGGTCTGTGCAGGTCAGGTTTTCAGGGGGCAAAGAAACTCAGGACTTGCCCCTGAAGCTGGGCACCCTGGGGAAAGGAGGCCCCGGATAGAGACCCGTGGGGCGTCTCCTTCCCCCAGCAGGGAAGGTCCTTTTAAGGGAGCCCGGCCTGCCTCTTGATTGGCACAGTCTGCCCTGGAAGGTAGGCGAGAGCGCCCGGGGTGCCAAAAGGCCAGCTGCAGACCTGAACTGGGGGAGATGCTTTGGCACAGCACGTGCAGCAGGGACTCTGAGAGCACAAGGTAATTCTTAAGCTATTTTTATGGGCCTCCGTCCCACGGAAAGGCCTGGCTTCTGTGAGGTGAAGGCTTCTTTATTCCAGCTGCTTCTCTTGCCACCCAAAGGAACTTTCACCAGCCTCCCTGCCAGGAGTCGCGCAAGGCTTAAGCTTGAGGCGTCGCTGAGCCTCCGTAGGACTTTCCAGAGGCCGTTCCTTCGATGCCTTCACCCTTTGCACAAGGTCATATTTTGATCTTCCAACCCGGGCATCTCTCAAGAAGATTTGGCTCCATAAAGAGGCAGTGAGTGCCACTTACTGTAGGCATTATCACCACCGGAAAATGGGGGGGGGCGGCAGGGGAGCGTCACCAGTGCCGTGCGGGAAGAAATCCACGCCAGGCGGTCCCAGCGTGCTGCTGCT